GAGGCATTTCTGACTGACCATCAAAACCAGCAGGAAGCCAATGGAAAGGAAGAATTCTATCAAACTTGTTATCATATAATGTGAAACGCCATTCCTCCCTTTGTTTCATCTGCCATCACTCACTAAGAGGGCAGAGAATTCTCTGTATTTCACTGTTCAAAGCTCACAAGATGATAATGACAATGCTCAACCTTAACCTTCTCAGTATTTTCCACTTCTGCAAGTCAATTTCTCCTCATCTTCAGGCACCTCCCTCTTAAAATATGGTGGAGGGAGAGTAGAGGAGAGGGAAACAATAACTATTTTCCTAACATTCAACAAAACCCTGTTTTTTATACAGCCCTCTCCAGAAGTGTATTCTCCTTGCAGGTCTTCTCAATGAAACATTGGGATTGTTGACAGTCAAGGAGCTGTGAAGAATTAAAAGAGGGTCAGAGAAGCCAGTAACAAGAAAAATTGCAGCAAAAGGGGCACTGAGTCACGAAGCTGGAGGGTGTAACTATCAGTACAAGTCCAGTACTGTCATTTTGAAATCTCGTACAATGAGCAGTCAGCAGCTTGGGTAGTGAAAAGCACATCCCATGAGACAAGCACACTGGAGGTGAGGCACACTTCAGCCCACAGAACACCTACATGATTAACCATGATGTGTCAGCATCTGGCCCTCAGAGCTCATTACTGTGGCTGAGTAAGATAATTTAGCAGCAAGGTTTACACATCACAGCATAGGAACAACATGGGCATGACACCAACTGGAATTCTTTACACAAGAGACCACAGAAGTCAGGACATTGCCACTCTGAGAACATCCATTTGACTGAGGAGCTGAAACTGAAGGTGTTAGATGGGCAAAAGTGAAAGAAAAAATTAAAAAGATGCAGAGAAACATTTTTGCCACTGACTATAAAGGTTACATATAATATACCATTAAGAAAGAGTTTCAAAAGACAACAGATGGTTTTTGCACAATTTAATTTCTGCTAGACTCTACTGTGGATATTTCATTCAACTATTGTTCCATTTGACATGCAAACAAGGAATAGAGGAAGGCATTTGAATACTTGCTTTGATAGCATTTCCTTTTTGGTACTGAAATGGTTGCTTTACATAATTTCATACTCCAGTTGACTCACTATGATACTCATTATGAAATAAACTATGAAAGAATGAGTTATAGAAAACACACATTTCTGCAATGGTCTCTTAAGACACATGCTTGGGGCTAGCCTGTTTAGAAGGCTTTGGCCTTGAAAACTTTCTTCTAAATTTTTGGTTAAGATATTGACATACACACAACCACAAGGATTAGAAAGTTCTGTCTCCATTCTTTCCCCATACTCTCTACGTGTAAAAATTTATAACATGTATTTGAAGTGACAGGATGTATACCATCTCAAAGTAAATCATTTCAAATTACCATCTCTGTACAGCCATGCACACAGGCATATTTCTCACTTCCAAATAAACTTCTCTATGTTCCAAAATAATACTTGCAATCCCAAAATAGTATCCCTTTCTATAGGAAACGATTTTCTCTCTATGCCTCTACTGTATTAAGACAGATCCCACAGTTTAAAAAGTAGAAAGCAAAGAAGAAATGTTGCTGGCTGATCTGAAATTACCAAAGAATATTGACCAGGATGGACCCATAATTTCACCTATTAGGTACTTCCCAAGTATACTCTGCAACCCATACAGGCAAAAGCAGTCTTCCTTCTTAGCAACAGATATCATAACATGCAAAAAAGTCTGCTATTGAATATGGGGAAGAAAAGAGACAGGAAGCTGCATAGTTTTCTTCACCTCCTTCTGACTCTATGGGAAGAGCTGAATCTGCTGCGCTCTCAGCTGCGCTTCCAGCAGGGAAGGGCGCAGTGACCATCCCCTCACCTTGGACAGTGGCTGAAAGCCACAGTTTATTTTTAAACACTTTAATAATAGAAGGCTGAAATAACCTTCTGAGGTCTGAGCCGGATCCAGCATGCACATTTGACGGCACGATAACTCACACTGCCTGCACAGCCAGTCAGAGATACTTTGAAATAAACTTGATTGAAGTCACCAGCCAAGTGCTAGGTGTGTTTTGAAGGCAAACCCCTCAGGCTGTGGCTTCTCACTTCTCCTCTGCGCAAAGCTCCGGCTCAGTGAACAGGCTCTGAGGCAGCTGCAGCCAAAGCACAGTGACTATTAATTGCAAACAGCAAAAGCCATCACAAGAGCCAGGGGACGGGGAGAATCTCAGAAGTCTCAGGCATGCGGAGCTGCTAAAGGAGAAACATGAAATAGCTTTAGGTTACATTATTTTTTCTCAAAAAGCACAGAGAGAGCAGGTACCACTGAACCACTGAAAGAAAAATGAGTAAATGCAAGAAAAAGGTCCCGTTTGTGCTCAGGTCATTGGTAGCAACTTGGTTTGCACAAGATTTATGACACTACATATTTTGTGAGCAGAGGAAGGCTTGTTAAAAAAAACAAAAAATCCATATTTACAACCACAGAGCAGGGCAATTCATACTTAGGGCTCCTCTGCTGTTTTATAAAACATGTGGACACCAGTTAACTTCCAGCCACTTCCCTCTGTACAGAAAAGAGAATTATCAAGGAATCACTCAATCTCTTTGCATACAACATAGGGCTCCTCAGAAGAAGATCCTCTGAATTTGCCTGTGTTTTCACCAGAAATACTGCTTTTCTGACTTAAACTTTCCCAGCTCGGGAGCTTCCTAAGTCATTCATTTCCAAAACCAATTCACAGCACAGCTGCACAAAGCTTTGTGGCAAAACTGTAAAGGGAGCAAAGTGAGAGGGAGAATGATGGGTCCACAACAAAGCAGGAGTGCCACAGGCCAATATCACATATGGCTTCATCTGAGCCATATCTAAGATAAACTCTTAGCTGTGGTTGGTTATTGAAATGCCTGGTTTTGGGTGATGTAATCTCCTCTCTTCCCTCACAACTTCATGATTAGAGGTGGAAAATAGGTTAGCAACCTAAGGGTGAATAGGAGTTTCTGCATTAAGAAGCTGCTCCTCTCTCACTGTAACCAACCTGTGCAATTTCTATGCCTTTCCACAGCAACACACATCCTGAAACATCCAGTGATTGACAAAAAAATTATCTATTTTCAGCAATAAAACTTCTGGCAATATTTACTAGAATAATCAATCTGCCACGGTACGGAATGATCCGTACTAGTTTTGCAAAATACTGAGTTTGTTATGTTCCCTTTATTGACAAGGGAATGCTGAACACTGTCTCCCCCTACAACAAACACCTAAAGCCAGTGAGAAATTATAATTGTCAAAAGGAATATGACAGAACAGCATTCATGAACAAACAAATGTAACCAGACTCTTCTCCCCTCCAGGATAAACCAAATATGATTGTGACCAGGAGTCACTGAGGCCTTAGTCCTGATTTAATGCAGTGAAAACATCATTATCTTACCAGGCGCCAAGCAGAAGAGATGGAAGGACAGAAAGCCACAAACAAAATCACCCTGAAAACTGCACAGGGCAGGGCAATCGTGCAGTGATTTTTAAAGGACAATTATCCTTCCCTCTTCTTCATGCAAAGGTACCTTTCCTTAGGTCTGCATGTGGGGAGATAATCCATACTCACACAGCTCCTTTGGGTTTCAGTGCTAGCTGTTAACACATTCAGGCCTTCAATGGGAGATGGACAGCTAAATCTGCACCTTTTTTATTTTACTTCACACCACTTCCAGCATCTAAGGCAACACCTTAAAGGTTGTTGACTTGCCTAAGCTGTGCAACTGGAGATGGGACAGAGGAGAGAAAGACCTTTTTCGTGATAATGAAATTCAGTAAAGCCTTCATTTGCATCAAACTGACTTTTCATTGATTGAATAAAGAGGGAATATTTAAAAAATCCAGCTAAACAGCTTATTCCAGCAATGGAAAGTGACAGCATATGCACACATATAATCACATGGGAAATAATAATAGTACGTCCCAGTGCACTGCATAGCATAAGAAAGCCAACTGCCTAAGGGATATGTCAAGAATGATTTATTTGTATACAGGGCTCTCTTTCCATGCGTCACCTCCCGATTTCTTCAACAGAATCGCCAAACCTTGGTGGAAAATAGCTATAGCTTTTTTCCCTTATCTAATAATTTGAAAATAACTTAAATAGTACTTTAAGAGAAATACAGGATCATCTTCAGTAGCTGAAAATTTGGAGGAAACTGTCTAAACTACTTTGTTTCTAACTTATATTCACACATGTAATATGATACAATGTTTACATTCTACTAAAAACACCAGTACTTTTATCTGAAAAACACATTGCTAATTCAGAAATTGATGGAGAGCTTTTCCTTTCTCTTCCTGTAGATGTTATCTTTCTCTTCCTGTAGATGTTATCACATGTGACTTTCTGTCTTGATATTTTCCAGCTTTCATAATGCGATTGCTTTGCTTCTGTATATCCATTATATTATTTCAAACCAATCAGATGTATGGGCAATGTATCCATGCATAATAGTCAAAAAGTTATTATCTTCTCACAAGACTACTCTCTCCTAACTATCTTTTTTACTTCTTTGTTTCCCTCATCCTTCATTGCAGCTTCCCTGAAAAATTTAAAAAAATTTAAAGGAACCAGAATCTATGGGACAAAAAACAGACAACATGAGGAGTGGTAACATCTGGCTTTCCCTGTAATAATTCCTTTTGGAAGAGAGTGGTCAGTCAGAACTTTGACAAGGATTTAGCAACACTGTCTGCAGTATGAATTTTATCCAAAGCACAGGAGCAAGGTGCTTATGAAACAATGGTACCTCATTCAGTGAATACTGTGCTTTCAAATGTCCAGTAGCATTAATACAAGTAGCACTTGAAATGGTCAGAATTCTTCCAAAGGCCAAGGCACTGATGCTGAAAAGGGTCCTAAGTGTTCCCATTACATCCTCCTGTGTTCTACCAGCCACCAAAGCCCTTAATAACACAATCCTGCTTCTAATTTCTAGACTTACTGAAATTTTGAAAAACATACGAGTCCTAATCAGATTTCCAGGCGACTTTTGAAGATCAGTGAGCTTTAACTTCAGCCTGGCAAAGTCTGAGAAAAATTAAGAAAAGCATTATGAAGCAAGATCACCTATTACATAAAAGCAATGAGATAATGTATCATTATGGTGAAACAGAACAGCCTGCAAGAAGACCAAGTCAATCTTACCACATTCAAAAGATGGCCTGTATGAAACACATCTGTTGGTAGCATTGAATGGAATAGATGACAAATGCATTGAACAGCCTTGTTTTCACTGCTTCTCTTGTTACTTTTGGGGAAAAAAAGGACAGAAATTATACAGAGACTCATAAAATGACATAACATTGATCACATCTTGATCTAGTCAATACAGATGAATAGAAATGTTCAATTATTAATACCACACAGGATTTTTAAACAGACTGCATTTGGTATTCTTGTTGATGGTCTACCTACATTGTGCCAGAGACACAAGCAAACTATTGCTATTGTTTCCTTGACAGCATCCAAATTGTCATCAAAGGAGTTTGTGGTCAATAGGAAAGAAAAAATTTATGAGGTGAGATGCACATGTGTCTGAGTCAAAGGGAAGGAGCACTAGTGCTCCTCTGTGAAGTGAGACAGGTAACCCCACCAGGAGTTACAGCCGAAGTGCACACAGTGAGCACACGAGGCATGTGCTGCAGCACAGAGCAGAGCTTATCCACAGGGGAGCTGCAGAGTTTCCCCATCCCCAGAACAGAACGTAAAGGCTTGCTCAGCAAGGGAGGAGGTGTCACTTACCAGAAAACTAAAGGCAGAAGAAGCACAGCAAACAGAGGAGGACACCATCATGTCATTATTCAGAGAGGCAGTGCTGGAACATTACTCCTTGCATGTGAAATGTATTGAAAGGTAGAAGTGGGAATCTCTACATAAGCACCCACATCCAAAGTACTTCTAACATATATGTTACCTTAACATATATGATGCCATGTGATTAGGTAGTGACATACTTATTAAAGCAGCAGCTATTATTGCCATTCTCCATGCTATACCACAGAAAAGAAACCAAAGATATAAACAGTCATTCAGGTTTACTGATGAGCTAGAGCTGTGCAGGGTAAAGGATTTCAGTTTCCCTACAGAAAAAAATACTGTATTCATTTTTCATCAGCCAATTTGCATAAAGAACAACAAAAGCATAAACAATAATCGTGCGTTTTATTTTCAAAATGTTATGGCCACAAGCTTTTCTTGCAAATTTCATAACCTGAGTTATTTTCTACCCATATTAGATGAACGAGACAGGGATGACTATGCATTACATAAATTACTCTAGATAAACCTCTAGAACAAACTATATGTTCTGAGCTAATGCTTTTTAATCACAGGCCTGCATCAGCAACTAGGAAAAGTCACCCAGCTGGAGATAATGACTGGGATAGGTGTCAGAAGACAGTGCCCAAAAGTCACCTTGCTTCTTGGACTGCAGAGGCTGAGCTGAAAACAGTGAGAAAACCTTCCCCAATCCCCTTTAAAATGTGTGACATGCTGAGACCAGCAGCAATTTACTTCTGTAGGGTTCCTGATGCTCTTCAGTCTCACAACAATCAGGCTGGGGTATGTTTTGTCTTCTTTCCATACACCCAAATAACCTGAAAAGGTTAGCTGAAAGCTTGAAAATAAAATAGATGCATACAGCTCTCCTAAACATGCAAACATCACAGAGATTATGCCAAGGGCTAGCACTATAAATGCACCACAGTCAGGATGCAATCAGACACAGGTTTGCTTTATTCAAAACTGAAATGTCACCACACCATGCAAATGTGAATTTATCATGAAGAGAGAGGTAGTCTGTGCAGCATTGGTTATGCTTGATAAGTCATATCCCACTCTCTTAAGCTCCTTTTAAGAGCTTGGGAGAGACATCTGCTCATCTTGTTATTTGATTGCTACTAAGCAGACATTAAGGATTTGTAAATACTCAAAAATACTTCAGTTAACAGTTTCTCTAAATATTTTCATGAACTGCCACCAATTCAGTACTGAACTGTTCAGAACCTACAATTCAACTAAGTTCTTTATCTCTGTAACTACCAGGAGTCATCAAAAGTAAGGATGTGTCCACCCAGATCATTACCTAAATGATTTCTAGGCTTTACATTCAGTTTCTTTGTTCTTAAATTTATATTGTCCTTGTACTTTAAAGGGCTTTTTTATTTCCCTGATAAGGATGAAATATTTCACATAAGGAAGAAAATAAGCCTGTATAAAAGAGACATTTCTTAGCAGACAAGCAAATGTACAAATCTTACAACTCCTATTACACAGGAAGATGCAAATTAACATGTCATATTCGTAAACTACTTGTGAAAATAAAAAGAGGAAATGGCCAATTTTTAAGAAAGATCTTGTAATATTTGCCTTATTCAGAAATACCAAAGTGAAAACCTCAATAAATTACTTAATACACATCCTAAATATTTGAAATCCAAGGACCTTCTGCAGTCATTTGTGGTAGTACTGAGCCTTCAATTGCAATGACAGAAGAATTTCACTAACTCCAAAGTGACAAGTCCCTGCCCCAAGAGTTTTTCACATAAATCAAATCCAAGAAATTAGTAATGGCTTAATTGCTTCAAAATTTTCCATTAATATATCTATTTGATGGAAGCATGTGACAAATTTCTGAAAAAGCTTAGAGAAAATACTATTTAGTTCATTCATTATAAAAATACAGTTTTGTGTACAGTTATTTCTACTTGCATCCATATGGATAGCCAACAAGCCTTAATTAGCTGCAATTTTCACAGAGCATGATCTGCAGGGACATTGGAGTCATTTTACATTACAGCAATTAATCTGTTAAGCCCTGTAGCTTTATGCTCCAAAGGTACACTGTATCTCCTATTCAAGCAGAAGGGAAGGAGGTTGCATGGATTATGTGAAATTAAAACAATTACACAGTAATTGATTCTTTCTCTCTCTTTAAAATCACCAAAATTACATATAAGTATATACACTATATACACATTACAGTTTGTGTGTTATAAATAAATATGTGTTAGAAATAAATATATGCATTACATAGAATTTATACACACATAGCCACTCACTCATTGATAAAGCCAACATTCCTTGCACTTTCAATGAGCTAACATATTCAAAAACAAGAATGTGGGCTCTCCATGCTCATTCTGAAAACATATTCCTAGCACTTGTTTACATTAAGGTTGGCACTACAAAAATTTGCCTTCCTCCCAGCTACTTAAAAGTAGGCTTTCTCTGCAGTTAGGTAGAGCAAGGCTTTTAGAGTACTCTAACACAGCATTTAAGCAACAGGTCCTGCCAACCAGTTTCTTCCTTTCCATCCTTAGACATCATCAGTGAGGTGACACTAGAAGAGTGTATCTGGAAGGATTACTCTCCCCTTTATTCCTATAACTAATTTTATGTGGAATCCAAAGAGAGGACAATTAGCATACACAAGATATGGCAGGTATTAATCATTAAATGTAGATGCCTGAACCATAGATACCTAAATCTAGGATATCTTAATAGACAGCAGAGACAAAGAAGCATTCTTAGAAGACACAGTATCTTAGCCCAAAGGTTTTTGTTCTGCCATTGCCATTGCAGAATGGTCCCAGAACATGTAAACTGTTTGACATACTCAGTTCTATGGAGAAAAGCTGGTAGAAGGGGGAAGCTTTGCTGGAGATGTCTTTTCTCTGTATGTGAAAGGTACATAAAGACAAGAAGAAACTGATGTGAAGGAACAAACTAAAGCAGTAACAGGAAAAATTTTACACCTGTAGAAACACCACAAAGGGCAAAGCACAATCTAAGTCCAGGGTGGTTTAACTTCAGCAGCTGCAGAGGTTCTTCTCTGTCTCCTCAAAGGAAAATTCAATACAAACACCAGCAACCACCAGCCAATGTATCTGCTAGAAGGAACTGAGGATTAGAGATGATAAAGAGATTAGAGCCGTTACCATTTCCTTCTATTTCTTAGCAGAGGGACCTTTGGGGCCTTACTGTGCTCCAGACAGGACCAGAAGAGCCGAATAAGGATGGTGATTCCATAACACTCCTCCCACCAAGTAATAAAGCCATGAACTATTTTGCCTTTTCATCCTGCCCACCAAGTAATAAAGCCATGAACTATTTTGCCTTTTCATCCTGCTTCACAACTATCCTATACAGCCACAACACCTGAGTGATAGGCACTTTGGGTGCTGATAAAAACCTTAGCTTTCTTATTTTTATGAACTGTGTTGTTAAGAAATAATTGCTCTTGTGCAATTTGCATGCTAAGGTTACAACTGCTGTTCTTTAATTGTTTCATGAATTCTGTGAGTTCTCACTTGCCGTTGGACCCAAGCCATAAACTTCAGTGCTGGCTTTGCACTTCTCCCAAGGCACTGAGCTATCTGGAAGCTTCTCTGCTTGATGTGACTTAAAAGAAAAAATTCAATAGACATTTTAATAAATCACTAGNTGCATTAATTGAACACAGCAGCTTTAGCTAAAAAAAAGTTGTAGATGTTTGAAAATGTGCATTGTGTTAATGTCAACTTGCACTTAGTGTTCTTGTAAGGCCGAAAAAGAAAATGGGATATTGAACTTTTTTAGAGCCTCTGGCATGAGGCAGTTTGAAAACTGTGATGTTAGACTGAGGTTCATTTTATTCCAAGCTGTAAAATTTCAGAGAGCGAAGAGAACAGAACTGAATTCCCGCAGGCTCCTCACCTCAGCACACAACATATTGCCGAGGTGGTTGAACACGCCTTACAAAACAGAAGCTTATCTCAAGGTACTTCCAGGATCAAACTGGTGCACACAAAACTGGAGAAAATCTCAATATATACCACTCTTACAAGAATATACCACTCTTACAAGAATAAATGATTCTTGTCCCTGCCTGAGCTGGTACCTGCAAACTCAAAGACACAAGATACATTCAATTTCAGACATTATGTGGACTAAGCATCAAGTCCTGCTTACACTGTAACTATACATGCACCGAATAAATTCATAACCAAGAGACTGTAAGTTACTTTATTTCTTTTCAGAAAAAAAAAAGGGAATAGAAATAAATTTAATCCAGAAGTTTAAATGTCATCAAAATCTTTGTCAAAATGCTTGGATTCTAATGTTTTTCTTTTCGATTTTGCTCTCCAGCAGCAATTCCTTTGCACTGGCCACTAGCACAAACCTACTACTTCTCCCATGACCTTTGTGGTGTAAATACTAACATCTGCCAACATCTGCAGGGACAGATTCTAATTCTGCCTGGATTTGTTGGTAAACTTTACTAAGAGAAGTTAGGATGAAGAACATAAAAGCAGCCATAAAGGCACCATACTGAGGTTCATTTAGAAATCATGCATAATCCTTCAAGGGATTTGATCTCTGTTAACTCACCTGATGCCTCATCATTCCCATTCTGCCAGAGAGCGAGTGATCCCTATCCACCTCTTGCTTCCTGCTTTTGCTCTCTTGGTCACCTATTTTCTTGACTCAATTCCAAATTTGTGCAAATGATCATTTATTATGCCTTAGTCCCTCAAAGTTTTGTCACTTCTGGTTCTGCACCTCCTGTCCTTTTGGAGCCAGATTTCCTACCGTGTCCCATGTTCCAAAGAGCTCTGTGTGCTAAAATGAGGAATTCTGAGGTTTTTCTGGGACCCACGTGGAAGCTTTAGCTGGTAGCTGAGCTGATCATGCCTTGGTTCTGTACCAGGCACAACACTTCTTGAAAGCACTTCCCTTTGGCTTTGTTTCTCCAATAAGAGAGAGGGATAAAGGACTACTGGACATTTAACAGGCTCTGATTTTATTTTGAATAAACTTTAACTTACATAAGCCCACAGACTCCCTGGAGAGCAGCTGATATGAACCAGTGGATGCAGAAAACCACTTGGTGGTGACTATTGAAAGCCTAATGCTGCCAGTGCTCATGATAATTGAGGGCTACTTTTAATTATTAGAATTTTTTTATATAAGAAATTCAAAGAATCACTTTTGCAGTAAAACCACTTCAAATGATCTGTTACTGAGCAAGAAAAATAACTGAATGAATATATGTGAATTATATTTGAGGGAAAAACAGAGACAGAAAATGCCCATTTTCCACTTCATTATGTTTTTAGTGACTTAAAAGTATCTTAATGAATGTAGCCAAAGTTTCATCAAAAGTCAACTTCTGTGTTTTATTAGCTTGACCTAAATAACCTTAAACATGCCCTCAAACTGAGGGGTAAGTAGCTTAGGATAATAATTACCATAATGGCTCAATTTGGCACTTTTTAATGGAGCTGTCACAATGCACATGCTACTTCTATAACAGCTGAAATACAACAAAGTTACTGAGATATTATTTCATTAACTTTTTTAAGCTTTGGCAATTATTTAAATGAAAAGGCACAGACATTATGTTGCTAATCTTTGCTTACAAATGTATGGCGTTGGCCACCAAATTATAACAATATTTAAAAATTAACTAAAACCAGTTCTAATGTTAGCCTGGGAGAGATTAAATTTGAAAGAGACCACCCAGAATGATTGCTATGATCCTGCACAGCAGTACAGCTGGACACCTAAAGGTCTGGTAGGTGATCTACACTTATAGTTTAATACTCCTTAAGTAGCCAAGGAGAAAGAAAAGCACATCCAAGGGCAATTCATCCTCCTTGTCTTCAGGTAGCATGAATCAGTCAGGAAAAGCCTTTCTCTCACACTCTTTCATTTACTTATGTTGGGAGATAACACTTTAAATTACTAAAGCTGAGGGAATTCATAGCCACCTACCAACAGCTGTTTTGGTCCCTCCCTACCATCAGCTAGAACAGATGGGTTCATCTCCTTTGACACAGTGGAGGACACACAGAGGTGTTACCTCTCCACAGCATTTTACTGTTGCACACACTTCATTAAAAAAATGCCAAGTTCCTATTTAGATTTGTATTCATTACTTAACGTCTTTCATCTTACAGTAACCTTGTAGAAGTAAATATTATATTGGCATGGAATTTACTCTAGTGATGCAGTCTTGAGTCTTGCTTAATCAGTATCTGTTGAAAATTTACTCCAGGAATGTAAGAACTAAATCTTAGATACTTAATCAGTATCTTTTAAAAAATTCACTATTAGTTGTACATATCTGATTTAAAAACATTAAACTGAAGAAAGTGATTGTCCTACTTTGTTCTGAGTAGCATGAAAAAGGATAAATTGCTCTTTTCTGGCAGTGAAACACATGCAAAACAAGCCTCCTGCAGTAAAAAACTCCCTTTAATCTGTATTTTTCTGCTAATTTGGTAGTGCTGCATCCAGACTGTGTGTTCCAGAGGCTTGAAAAGCATCAAGCAATTTTGTTAGAGGCTGATCAGGTGAATAGCACTGACACCAAAACAAGTGGCACCGTCAAAAGCCCAAGTCTTCTGCTTTACCTGATTTTTGCTAACCCAGCAGCAGAGGACCTGAGGGGATCTCCTCAGCTGGAGGTTTCCTCCTGTTACCCAGAGCTGCTGTGGGGCTGCAGTGCTTTCTTCTTCATACATGAGGAGACTCTGGGGGGATGCTATGCTATAGCAACTTCAGAGAGGCTACAGGCTGCCGTGGGCAGTGCCCCACTTGATCTCTGAGATGATGTTCCTCACTAGTTCTTCACTTGAATGTTATCTCTAAGCCTGTTAGGACTCTGGGACAGTAAGTAAATTTTATACTAAATTTTATACATTCAAAAATAACAGAATGAAAGAGTAAAGGCTCATCTCATCTTTATATTCTTCCAGGATCTGTAGGACATGGATCAAGACTGCGTGCAATATCCATCCTAGATCCCTTTGTTAGAGCAGGGCTTACCCCAGGACTTCAGGTCTTTTATCCCCATTGACCAGTGCTGTCATTTATAACATTCATTTATTTACTATATTTCCAATAATGTAATTATAGGTTTATATAATATTAACTTTTATATGAAAGAAAAATAATAAAAAGAACTTTGCATATTACATTATGTCCAGTGAAAAACATTTGGCTGAACATTTGAAGACACTAATTATGTTATTATTCTTTTATGTAAGTCATTTTTCTGCTAGTGGACGCTAACACTCATTCATGTCCACTGAGACTTTTATAATGAACATTTTTTTTAGACTTTATATGATAGCATAGAGTGAAGCACTATGAATTATTTTGAATATCCACTACATTAGTGGATATTCAAAATGCATGAATTAAACCTGGCCATTATTTTGGTAGGAAATATTTCAACATTAGGTTTAAAACTGAATTACTTCACCTGACTGAAATAGGTCATCAGAAAACAAATTTTCTGAAAGTGATTGATAAGCTAAGCATTTCTCTTGCTAGCTTTAAGCCCATATTAATCACTTGGTGTGGGTACTACTGAATCATGTTCTCAAGTTTATTACTGGGTCAGGGCCTTATGGTAAAGGAATCTTACCGGATTTCACAGCAAAATTTGCCTTTCTATAGTGATTGTGAACACCCATTTTCTGCAGTCTGTGTGAGTGAATAGACTGCAATGGCTGAATGAAGTGAGATGTCTGACAGATCCTTGTTGCACACTGGCAAGAAGCTAAACATTTCACTACACATGACAGCTGCTGAAGAGATAGACTTGATTCAGTGACATACTGAGAATTGCATGTTTGAGCATTGTCATTGGTTGCTAGAAGCAAAGCTCATTTCCACAGCAATCTACTGGAAAATATTGTGCTTCAGGCATGGGATAGAGTCACAAGGGGCCTCAGAAAAAGGCAAACGTTGTTCCTGAAAAATCCTTGCAACAAAGAAGAATAGTAGTTTTCTGGAATTTTAATTAAGTGAATTCATGCAATCAATAAGTCTAAATCAGAATGAATCATTAAATCAGAATTGTTTGAGTTGGACCTTAATGATCATCTAGTTCCAAAACCTTTACCATGGACAAAGACACCTTTCACTAGACCAAGCTGATCAAAGCCCCTTCCAACCAGGCCTTGAGCACTTCCAGGGATGAGGCATTCACAACTGCTCAGAGCAACCTGTTCCAATGTCTCACCACTCTCATAATAAATAATTTCTTCCTAATTTCTTATGTAAAACTATTCTCTCTGAGTTTTAAGCCATTCCCCCTTGTCCTAGCACTACATGCTCCTGTAAATAGCCTCTCTGCAGGTTTTTTGTCATCCCCCTTTAGGCACTGGAAGGCTGCTATGAAGTCTTCCTACAGCCTTCTCTTCTCCGGGCTGAACTCCACCAACTCTCTGTCCTCAAAGGAGATGTGCTTCAGTCCTCTGATTCAGCTTTGTGTCCTCTTCTGGACAGCAAGTCCAGGGCCTTTTTGTGCTGGGAATCCCAGAGCTGGAATCCAGGCAGAGCCTTACCAGGGCCAAGCAGAGGGGCAGAATCACCTCCCTTGTCCTGCTGACCATGTTCCTTTTGATGCAGCCCAAGACACAGTTGGCTTTCTGGGCTGTGAGCACATATTGACAAGTCATGTCAAGCTTCTTATCCACCAACACTGCAAAGTCCTCCTCAGGGCTGTTCTCAATCCATTCTCCACCCAGTCTGTACTGTGCTTGTGTTTGCCTGTACTCATGTGCAGAACCTTGCACTTGGCCCTGCTGAACTTGACGAGGTTTGCACAGTCCCACCTCTCCAGCCTGTCCAGGTCCCTCTGGACAGCATCCCTTCACTCTAGTTAGCTCAACTACACCACCCAGTTTGGTGCCATAGGAAACTATGCCAAAGATTCACCCAATCCCACTGTCCATGCCATTGACAATGATGTTAAATAGGGCTGGTTCCAATACCAAAACCCTGAGGAACATCACTGTGTAGGTCCAGCTTCTTGGTCAGATGTAATTTCTCCTACAAATTTCAAGCACAGTTGAGGGATGTGAAAAATTTTCTGAAGCCATTTTTCTTCAATCATATGCAAACCAGCCTGTATTTTAATACTATTTTTGCTCAGGAGTTTTGTCCCTTTTTATTTGCCCAGTAGTTCAAGAAACACAGTTTAATTTCTGAGTCTGGAGATAATTCACACTGTATTAATGTAACTTCTATTATGAACAATTTTTAATAGATGATTTATCATCTACCTACATTATGGTATGATGCTCTAGAAGAAGAATGAATGGTAGGGGATCTAAACAAGTGGAATAAGGAGTAATAGGGTGTTACCTGAAGCTTTTCCCTGTTCTCTACTCAAAGCCCTACTCAAAGCAGAAGAAAATCAGATAGGTAGGTCTTGTGTGCCTTTTAATCATCTCCACATAACCAAATACTCTGTTACCATTTTTTCAATCATTAAGGAATACAGTGTGTGATATGAAATGTAAGGATATACTTTTTCATCCTTTTTAGGAGACATGTTGCATACAAGTTTTTCATAACATTTTCTCGTTACTTTTCCAGTTCTGTGTGAATTT